ATGATGATGATGATGTGGAGGAAAGTTATTGATTAAATCAAATGACTGGATGATCATAAGTTATTTTTCCTCAAGTTATTGGTGATATTATGTTTTTACAGGATTGAAACCAACTTTGGAAAATACCCTGTCAAACCAGAGTAAGTAAATACAATTATTAAAATATTAAATTATTATTCAAAATTAACTATTTTACAATTACACTGAGATACTTTAAGTTACTTGTACAATTCACAGACAATGACTATGAGAATAGTCATAATAATAGAATAAATCAGTAGCAGTTTTTAAGAATGTTCTCATTGGAATCAAAAACTTCTTTTTACAGCAGATAAACTCAGAATCGTGCTGTTTGGAGACCGTGAACAGGACAAGATAACTCTATGTAACTTCATCACCAGAGAAGAAGCTTCTATATCTCAGAGAGACTCAGAGAGGATGAACTGTGAGACCACTGAAGGAGAGTGGAGAGGAAAACCATTAACAGTGGTGAAAGCTCCAGACATGTTCAGTCTGAATGAGAAGACCATGAGAGAAGAGGTGAAGAAGTGTGAGACTCTTTGTTCTCCTGGACCAAATGTTCTGCTGCTGTTAGTGAAACCTTCTGATTTCACTGAGGAGAACAGACGAACACTGAAGTTCATCCTGAGTCTGTTTGGTCCAGATGCTTTTAAACACTCGATGGTCGTCATAACACATGATGGGACGGAAACAAATGTCTCTGTTAGTCAGCTGCTTCGAGACTGTGGAGGAAGACTCTACAACATGTTTGAAGATAAACACCAACTGTTGATGGAGAAGATTGAGAACATTGTGCGTGAAAACAAAGAAACCTTCCTCACCTTCTCTGAAGAGCCTGAACACATGAAACCAGCTTTAAACCTGGTTCTGTGTGGGAGGAGAGGAGCAGGGAAGACTTCAGCAGCCGAGGCCATTTTAGGTCAGACAGAGCTTCATTCAGTCTCCAGCTCATCAGAGTGTGTTAAACATCAGGGAGAGGTGAGAGGACGTCAGGTTTCCCTGGTGGAGCTTCCTGCCTTGTATGGAAAACCTCAGGAGGAAGTGATGAAGGAATCGTTCAGGTGTATCTCCCTCTGTGATCCTGAGGGCGTCCATGCCTTCATCCTGGTCCTACCTGTGGGTCCCCTCACTGATGAAGACAAGAAAGAGTTAGAGACCATCCAGAACTCATTCAGCTCTCCAGTCAATGACTTCACCATGATTCTGTTCACTGTGGAGTCAGATCCTGCAGCTCCAGCTGTTGTTGACTTTATAAGAAAGAGCAGAGACATCCAGGAGCTGCTTCAGAGCTGTGGAGTGAGCTGTTGGAGGCTGTGGACAAGATGAGAGTTGAAGGATCTGAAAGCTTTAGAAAGGAAATCTTCACCAGGGCTCTGAGTGATAAAGGTACAAGGCCAGACATTGAAGACAGAAGATTTCAAGCTGAAAGTAAAGATGTAAAAGTGCAGAATATAAAGACAGAGCCTCTGAGGATGGTGCTGATCGGGAAGACTGGCAGTGGGAAGAGTGCTGCTGGAAACACCATTTTAGAACATTTTATAATCTAAAACCCAGCCAGAAGTCAGTGACCAAGATCTGTGCCAAAAAGAAACAGGAGAAGATTGATGGACGACCTGTTGTTGTGGTCGACACCCCCGGCTTGTTCGACACAGCTCTGTCCACTGATGAAGTTAAAGAGGAGCTTGTGAAATGTGTCAAGATGTTGTCTCCTGGACCTCATGTGTTCTTACTGGTGTTACAGATCGGCCGGTTTACACAAGAGGAACAAGACTCTGTGGAACTGATCAAGAAAATATTTGGTGAAAATTCAGGACATTTCATCATCGTTCTGTTCACCAGAGGAGATGATCTGAACAATCAGGCAGTTGAAAGCTACATAGAAGAAGAGTGTGAGGACTTTGTTAAAAATCTAATTGAAGAGTGTGGAGGGAGATACCACGTCTTCAATAACAACGATAAGACAAATCACACACAAGTCGGTCAGCTGCTGGACAAGGTTGAGACATTGGTGAGAAAAAATGGTGGTGGATGCTACAGCATAGAGCTGCTAAATATTGAAAACAATTATCAGAAGGTGTTGAAAAGGATGGAAGAGATGCAGGAAAAAATGCAGAGAGAGAAGGAGGACCTTGAAAGAAAACATGAGAATGAAATGGAGGTGCTGAAAAGAAAATTAGAAACACAGGCTTCTGAAATGGAAAAGCAACAGAACTGCAGTGAAGAAATGAAGAAAGAAATGAGGGACCTTATACAGACCATGGAGGCCCTGAAGAAGAAACAAGAAAAGGAAAGAAATGGTTTAAAAAAGAGACATAAAAAAACATGTATAATCTTGTGATGAAAACAGTGGTCAGATATGTGAAAGGAGTCTCATCTATTTACCACCAAGCTGAATAAGGATTGATTACTGTATGTAGCAAGGCTGTACTGCGCTGACTTTAACCTGCCCAGTTACCACTCACCACTAGCTGGTCACTCCACCTCTCTCTCTATCTCTCTCTCTCTCTCTCTCTCTCTCTCTCTCTCTCTCTCTCATCAGAAGGCTACGTCTCCTGTTTAGAGTTGTCCTGTATTACTGCACTCAGAAAATATTTGCTTGTATTTTATCTACTTATAGTTTGATATTGTTTTATAAATTCACTTTTTGCTTACAGAGAGACAAACCAGCTGCTTAAGAATTGAGTTTGTAATTTAAATTGAAGTAATTTTACCACTTAAATTTAGTATTTAATGTTAAGTGAATAAAGTTTTCATGCATCTTTTACTTGAATTCTTTTTCTCTGTCTAATTCTATATTTCAGTTAATTTAATAAACCCAATATTGTTGCATTCAAAACCACATCTGTCTTTTTATAAACACATCTGTGTCATTTACCTGGTGTGTAAGGCAGTTTGTCTTATCCTCTAGTCCCTCAGGTCACATGTACATTACACTGTACATCATGCATCATCTCACAATAAGACTTTACTGTTACTCCTGCTTGCTGTGAAGAGCGGTACTTCCTTTAATATTACAGTGTATAAATGTGGTCAAAACAAACTTTAAAATGTAAACCATTAAAATACATCATTGTCCAGAATATAAGACAATATATTTTTCTGAAAACTGAAATTGAAAAAGGTTTTATTATATTTAAAGATTAGACTTTACATGATCACAAAATTAAACCAGATCTCTTGGCCAGAAGCTAGAAAGTGTTGCATTATGGGTTGCTTGTAGCCTTAACATTGCTAAGATAGCGAGTTACAAAGCATGTTCTTTATGTCTTTTAGATTCATTGAACTCCAAAAGTGTATTTAGCTGATCGTGTATTGTTTCTTCATGCCATGGAGCAAATTCCTGAAGACTAAAAACAAGTCAAAAGTGTCTCCCTTCACCTTTACTACATAAACACACCGTCACAGATTATTATGAGGAGGATATCAAAAAGAGTACAGAGAGGAGTCTCAGAGTCTCAGAGTCTCAGAGTACTAGCAGCCAAGTGTAAATAATTCAGATCACTACTGTACTACTTCTACTCTTTTGTTCATAAACCAGATGTTATTTTCTGTAAATATAACATAAGCCTTGCATTGATTTTAGTGAAATGTAGTTTGTAAACAGTATTTTAAGCCTCTGTGTGTTGGATTTCTGGTGTGTAGGAAGATAACTCCAATGATAGTATTCAGTACCCATACAGATTGAGGAGTCACCTGTCCTTCCACATGGCTGCTCACAGTTTCCCAATTATCCAGCCAGTAATTAAACCTGACTGTTCCACCTGCTCCCTGCCAGATTGTAGTATGTCCTGTTGTCCCTCATACTGTTCATGCTGTGTACTCCAGTTCTTGCCACCTTGCCTATACCTGCACCATCCCACCTGCCTGCAAGCCTTTGTCATCATCATTGCACCTCTCTGCCTGGTTATCTGCATTTTATCTGCAATTTTATTTGAAATCAGTGATTGGTTGCTGCAGCTGTGCAGACCACATCATCACAGTTTTATACTTCAACTAATAACAGATTTGGGTTTACAGGTGTAACATCACCACAAAGTTCAGATTTTATTTATGTTGTGATTGGGTCTGTGTTAACTGCAGGTCTGATTTACTGTAATAAAGGAAGCATGAAACAATAAGGATCTTTTATTTTCCATTTTTAACCTGTATCATGGATAATCTCATAGAGAGAGGAAGAGTCTGCTAAATTGTAGCAGTGAAAACATTTGATTATTGATTGATTTCTATCAGATTGGAAATCTCTGTGCAGTTGACGAGTTATAACATTTTGACATCAAATACTTACATTAATTCTTATCATTCTCAGACCCTCTCATCATAACTGGATAATTGCATAATGAATTTAAAGAGAAATAAATGCAGACACAAATAAATCATGAATAAATAAAGTTTAGTTGATTTATGTCCTCTCAGTGTCTGAGCAGTAACTTTACAAACTGGTTCTGTAGATCTGTTCACAATATACACCACAGGCTGTAAGGATTTACTGTAGTATTTGTATTGTTGACTATTTTACTGGTTGAGCTGCTGAGCTGTTGCTGTTAAGATTCAGTTTGTGAAGGACATGAATAATTAGGAGTTATAGCTTTTGCATGCTTTCAGTTGATGTAGTGTTGTTAGCTGCTAAGGTACATTAAACTTAAAATTATGAATTTGTAAAATAATTATGTACATTGAGGTCCAAAAGTCTGAGACCGCTTTCCCATGGTCCACACTGAGTATCATGGCTGCTGCTCATTTTACGTGAGGAACCACATAAAGTGGCGGAGGTGCATGACGTCACAAATACTTACAGAGAGGTATCTTTCTACAGTTGAAAAGAAAAAAATCAAATCTAATGGAACCGCATCTATTGTCTCTACAGCTTATATTGAAAACACAATAAAAATAGGCAGAAAGTTTTTACCCCATAAATGTTACATTTTGGGAATACAGCTTCATTTGCCCCCATTCATTCTCAACTATCTCACAACCTTCCCCTGACACAGCTTTTTTGTTCCTATATTTAACTTTTTCTTGAACAACTGACACTGGAAGTTTTGTTGTCCTCTGCTGTGACATCCCTAAAATATATTTCATGTGTTAAATTTGTCTGAAAATGATGCAAATGTGAAGTGCTAACTGTTAATGACAGGTTAGCTACAAATAGCAAGGTCAATAACTGACACAAAAGTGTAACAGAAAATATCCACTGGTGCAGGACAAGATCTCTTTAAGAAGCAATTTGAATAATTAGATAAGACTTATTTAACTCCCTTTTATTCTTCTTTCTTTTCCCTTTTTTATGTCACACCATAGGACACATTAACGGTGCAGTAACGGTGAAAATATTCAAAAAAATAATAATAAAAAAGGTGATTTACAAAAAAAGCTTTTTGTCTGCATATTTGTCAACCGCCCATAAACACATAATAAAACAAAAATACCAAGAGCGAGGAGGCTTGCACAGACAGGCGCCATTAAAAAAAGTATTTCAAAAGGAAAATGTAGATGTTGTTATGCTTATAATTTTCTGGAAAGACAGTTCCGTTTCATGCTCCTGTGTCTGAGCTATAACACTTATCCTGTTAATCCTGTATTGGCTCAGTTTGTCAGGAGTGAAGCTCATGTCTAATTTGAGTTTCTGTATTAATGTCATGGATCTGCCATACAGCATGTCCACTGTATATCCAGTAATTGAGATACGTGTAAGGAAAGAGCAGGATTTAAGTACATGCTAATGTTCAAATATAATAAATAGGATCAGTGTGTCCATACTCTTAACTTAACTCTGAACATGCAGCAGGCAAACAACCTGTTAAGATGTGTTTTGTTATTGTGTGATGGGGCCTCTGTGGTTTAATGAGTTGGGGTTAGGCTCTATAGGTGTGTATAGCCACTGCTACTAGCTGTGTGTCACATACAAATTCACCAGCAAGCTCATTTAATTGAAAGAACAGGAAAGCTATTATAACATTGTGGAAACTTGCTCTCCAGCCTCTGCTGCAGGGTGTACACCCTCAATAGTTTGTAAACCTGAGACCTTTCTAAGTGAAGGAGAGCTCAGGAGGTGCAGTTGAGGTGTAATGGTAGGATTCAACAGATATCACCAAGGCAAGAAAATCTTTAATACTTTTATGATCATAATAATTTCCAGGGGCAGCAGTTCAACTCCACCTGAGAAAACTGTCCATCACTCATCCGATTAAAATATTTCAATCTTTAGGCCTAATTACAGAGTTACAGTCAAACATACGTACGTGGTAAATGTATGAAACAAAGTTAAGTACTAAATTCAAATTTAAGTTTAATAAACACAAACCACAATAATGTGTTGTATTCTTTTA